TTTGTTTCAGACAAGATGTCATAGAATATATTTTCCTTGCTCTTTTCTGCTAAACAGAACTGGAAATGGCACAAAAGACAACCAGAAAAAAGACCCTGAGAAGACAAGCTGCTTTGAGACCCCAGGACTGGAGACACACCATAGTGAAGGGCATTTTGCATCCCAACACCTAACAGCAGAAGGTTACCCACCTTTGATCTAAAAATAGAAGGCAGCCCAGGTGGGCTCATTCTTCCTTTGGATCTAAAGAGAGCCCCTTGGCAACATTAGACAAGCCTTCACTAGTGACAAGGAGGAGCTATTGAGAGCCACCAAAAATAAGGTCCCTGGGGAAGAATCCTCTTTCTCTGGTGGGCTTGAGATGTCCCTTTTCTAGCGAAGCAAGGGGTGGAACTGGCAAGAGAGGCCCAGCTGCAGGTGGGCTGGCCCAGAAACCCTCTTTGATCCAGAAGCTTGCTCAAGACTCTCTTTGCCTGCCTGAGATACAAGCCTGGGGGGGTGGAGCCAGAAAGGGGGGCGCAACCCCAAGCAGCCCAGTCCGGAGAACCTTTTCCTCATGAGCTACTTGTAGAGGGATTGAAGGACTCTCCTCCCGGGCCCTCTCCCGCACCGTGAGAAACCGGCTGCCTGTGGAACCTCTTGCAGTCCCTCAAGCAACACCAGAAGGGACCACTGGGGAATCAGTCACGCCAAACCAGATAAACCAAGAGGACCAAAATAACACCACAAAGCCTCTGAAAATTAAGCTCCCGTGGAAACTACAGCCCACAAAAACAGATCGAGACCTCTGTGCTAAACCGAAACAGTGGGACTACCTGCTAAAATGAAAAATTTAAATAGGATCCAGTATCTCTACATAACAGACAAAATTCCAGAGGAAAAAATATATTACCCAGCATACCAAGAACTAAGATAATCATACACAGAAAGGGAAAAGACAATTTGTGGCAGTAATAGTAAGGTGAATCAGGTGTTGGAATTATCTAAGAAGTATTTTAAAGCATCAATTAATTAAAGATTCTCTCGAAACATTTAAAAAATAAAAAATTCCCAAAGAAATAGATTTTATAAGAATAATTAAAATCCTGAAACTAAAAAAATTTACAATAACAGAAGTAAATGTCCATAGATGGGCTCAGGAAAGGAGTGGAGATGCAGGAGAAGAAAATCAGTGGACTTGAGTACAGAACAACAGAATTTACCCAAACTGGACAATAGAGAGAGAGAGAAAAAAAATAGACTGGAAAGAAAATGAACAGAGCCTCAGGGACCTGTGAGGCAACAGCTGAAGAGTCATTTTTTATGTCATTACACTCCCAGATGGAAAGTATAAGAGTGGGCTGAAATGTTGTTTGAAAAAGTATTGGCTAAAAATGTCCTAAATTTGGTAAAAGAAACAAATTTACAATTCCAAGAACCTGAGTGAATGCTAAATAGAATAAACACAAAGAAATTCATGCCAAAGGTACACCACAATTAAAAACATTTAAAACTAAAGCCAAGGAAAAATCCTGAGAGCAGCTTGAGGAAGATAACATGTTACCCAGATGGAATGCCAATGCAAATGGGTTTCCTATCTGAAGTCACAGAAACCAGAGAGAAGCGGCACAATCCTTTCCAAGTGCTAAAAGAAAAGAACCGTCAAGCACAAATTCTATATCCCATATATTTTATCCTTTAGGAATGAAAAAGAAAATATTCTCAGAGGAAGAAGAGCTAAAAGAATGTGTCACTAGCAGACATAGTTTTTTAAAATTTAGTTTAACCCAATATATCAGAAATGGTATTTCAACATGTAATAAGTATAAAAATATTACAAAGAAATAAAATTCGTTACTCTTAAAGATTGGCTAAACAAAATTTTTCCAATGGAAAGGAAAGAAAAATGGAGCATGGGGAAAAAAGAAAGAAAAATGGAAAGAGCATAAATATGGGTACATAAAAGAAATTTTCTTTTCCTTGTGAGTTTTAAATCCATATTTGATGATTAGAACCAAAATTATAGCAGCATCTGATTCTCATGACGATGCTATTTAAAAATGGAGAAGTAAAAGGAAGCTCAATGGGGCTTCCACACTTCATTCAAAGTGGTAAAATGTTGAAACTGGTAGATAGATAGATGAAACTGTGTAAGATAGATAGACAGATGATAGATTGATATATGATAAACAGATGATAGATAGATGATAAATGGTGACAGATAGATGGATAGATGATAGATGATAGATAGATAGATGATAGATGATAGATAGATAGATAGATGATAGATAGATAGATAGATAGATAGATAGATAGATAGATAGATAGATAGACGATAGATAGATGATAGATAGATGATTGATAGATGATAGATAGATGATAGATATAGATAGATAGATGATAGATAGATCAATAGTAATACTCAGAACAATCACTACCAAAATGTACAGAGAGATACACTAAAAAAAACACCATAAATAAATCAAGGTGGAATCCTGAAACATGTTAAAATATTGTGCAGAGAAGCAAGAGAAGAGAAACAGAGAAATGAGACCAGAGAAAACAAATAGAAAACAAGTAATAAATGGCAAACTTAAGTGCTAACATATAAATAATCATCTTAAATGTAAATGGTCTAAATACACCAATAAAAAGATTAAAAATTGTGACCCAGCTATATACTGCTTACAAGAAACTCACTTCAAATTCAATGACATGTGTGTTAATAGTAAAAGCATGAAAAAAGAAGATTGCCCTGACCAATGCAGGCAAACATCGTCTAATTGATTGAGGGCCCTGCCCAATAGAACAAAAATGTGGAGGAAGGGTGAATTCCTCTGTCCTTGAGCTGGGACATTCATCTTCTCCTGCACTTGGACATTGGAGCTCCTGGTTCTTGAGCCTTCAGGTTCAGATTCTGGACTTACACCAGTGCCGCCCCCACCTTCTCAGACCGTTGGCTTTGGACTGGGAGCTATGCCATTGCTTCCCCTGGCTCTCAAGCCTTTGGGTTTGGATTGAATTATACCACTGGCTTTCCTGGTTCTTCAGCTTGCACATGGCATATTGTGGCATATCTCAGCTTCTACAATTGGACAAGCCAATTCCCATAATAAATCTTCTCATATATATCTATATATATATATCCTACTAGTGTTTCTCAGGAGAACCCTAATACTTTTTTAAGGATGACAACCTTATTTCTCTCTGAAGTGCTTTGACTAATATCTAGGAGCTGCTCATAGATTTTTTTGAAAGGAAATACGGGAGGGAGACAAGAAAGGAAGAATGATGAAATTGTGCATAAATGGGGACTCAGAACTTATGGATCATTTGAAGATGCTACTTCCATGTGATCTAGACTAGAACCCAGGAATAGGGGTGTTATGCCACCTGGATAGTTAAATAGACTACCTGAAATTTAGGGAAAATTCTTTCAGCTAATGTGTAATTTTGAAGTCAATGAAGATAAAGAGGTTCACGGACAGATGAGACGAGTTAGTGTCTGACTCTGACAGTTGTAGGTGACCTAACAAAAAGATGAAAATCCCCTACTGTGAAGACCGTCATTCCCTGGAGCTCTTTATTGACTGTGGAATTTATGGGAAGGGACAGTTAAGAAAGGGGTTCAACAACCAAAGAGCAAAATAAAGCATTTCTGGGAAGGGATTCAGGGTGCCCAGAGTAATTCTCTTCCAATTTCCTATCCAGTCTCTGCAGTGGAAATTTTATCTCGTCTTTGTTTCCTCTCTCTTATTGTCAAGCCTGAAAAACTATAAGCTGGAACCTTAGGTCTTATCTCTGTGATGGACGCCTTGCCTTAAAAGTGTCTCTGTGTTGAATATAGTTACCTTCCTTTCTCATTGATAAATTTTTTCTTTTTCTTCAGAGGCCCACTTTATTAATGCCACCTGTAATGTCCAATCAGAACCCATCCTTTTTTCCCATATACATATTACAACTTTTACCAATGGCATAAAAATTAACATATAATGTAATCAGCTGTATAGTTATGTTTTTCCCCAGTAGCCAGTAAGATCTTTTGTCTCAGATTTGTCTTTATATGTATGTATGTATGTATGCATATTTATCCAGACTCTGGGTTTACCTGTACTATCTAGCATTCAATAAATGTTGAATAAAAAACCTTTATAGTTATATCCCCTCTGTCTTTCTTTCTCCCAGGGGTTGTCTCTACTTTTAAAATTTCCTCCACAAAGGGGGACATAGAGATCAACATAGAGATAGAAATAGAGAGATACTCCTTATCTCTGTACAACAATTTAATTAATCTTAAACGTCCTCTCTCTCTGAGATCAGGTCATTTATTACTAGACAGTTATTATACAGAGTGGTTAAATATTAAGGCTCTGAAATTAGACCTGGTGTAGAGTACTGGCCTGTCATTTACAAGTTCTATGCTAGATAAAAGCCCTTATAACCCTTCTAATCCTAATATTTTTAATCAGCAAAATGAGACTTATCATTGCTTCATGAGTGTTGTGAATGCTGAGCTCACGCATGATAAATACTTAGCAAGAGGCTTGGCATAACAGTCTGCTCAATAAATGGCAGCTATTTCCAATATCTTTATAACTGTTTGAGTATATTATAATTATTAGAAGACCAGAACAATTTTTAAAGAAGCAGATATTGAAAATAGCAGCAGGCCAATAAATTTAATTTCAACATTATTTTCTATAAGCAAATTCTAATAATACTGAGATACATGTAGTGAACTTATTATTAGGATTTCAATAAAAAGAATGCTTTTTACATTTTGTTGATGTGTAGGGGTCTCTGGTAAGCTCACTAACATTAATTTTACTAAATTAAGTGAATCCAAAGGAAGCACAAATTTTTCCAGTTTTGAATTTTGAGCTTGAATGAATAAACTTTAATGTAAGGCTCATTTAAAGATGTTTTTATTATAGAAAGGTGCCAAATTGACTTTCCAAGGAAAAGAAACAAAGCATAGTGTGGTTAACATGTTGTATTTATTATTTTCTCTATAGTATCTAAAAAGTAGAATATATTGCATGACTTTGTTAAAAATAATTCTTTATACAAGTTTGGTAGGTTATTGTCAAACACAGTGTATAAGTAAAAGAAAATTTTCAAACTAAAATCAGTGTGTGGTCTTTATAGAATTTACAGAAGCAAGGTAAGATTCAGTTTAAATATCTGAAGCAGTTTCCACATTAAAGCATTTCCAAGATATAGAAAACTGGTAAGCTTAGATAAAGTACCAGCTGTCATCATGTCACCAAGTTAACACTGATTCCTCATGGTCCCCATCACATACACAGTGGAGAACGGGAGGAGAAAGGGAAGGAACACATAGAAACAGAACCCTGAAGTTACATTTGCTTAGGGGATTGGATTTCCCAAAGGCATCTTGGTCAGGTTAATACACTTCTGAGGAGCAAAAATAGATTATAATAGTTAAGGCTCAAGATCATGCATTCATAATAAAATACAATTACTGATATTTAAATGGCATTGAATGTCATAGAACATATTGAAAGCTTGTCGTTTAAATCAACAGTATACCTATTTTCTTTTTGAATCCTTTAGGACTTGATAGGCACATTGAAAGCAATCTTCATACAAAAGGAATACATTTCAGAACCTCAAACTACCTGGATGTGGCTGCATTTTTATGAATATGTCAAAAAACAACTTTGTGCCTTTTAAAAATAATTTCAATACTGAAAATTAACGTTCAGGATTTAAAATATTTTCAGACATAAAACATTTTCCAGAGTAATTATGTATATGACGAGATAGAAACAACAAAGAACTTGGAAAGATAAATGAGTAAGTGAAAACTAACTTGCATACATTAATGTTATAAAACCCCACCAACAACAAACTTACACTTTGATCTCCTAATTCAGAGTTCTCACAGCTTCAGTGATCATTTTCTTTCTCTAAGTTATGAAGAACCATAAAGTAGAGCAAAACGTATTTCAAATTGGCCAGTTTCCCAACTAACAATCAAGACACTGTGAAAATCCCTGGACACAATGGTAGCCCTTGACTCTTCTAATTCATATTATCATATACATCTGCCAGATATTATATACTCAATGTTACATTATAGATAAATGGTAAAAATACATCAGTCCTATGATAAGGTAAGACTTGAGTCTACTAACATATTGTCTATGATATCATTTTAGTACATGTGTACTTTTAAAAAATGTAAATGAGAAAACCATAGCTCATCACTGTGTTCCCTTTATTTTTTTTTTACTTAAGAATCCATTCTGTTGAAGAGCTGAGCTTAGGTGGAACTAGCCAGAGATGAGAAACCAGGAATCCAAGAACAATGAAACAACATTAATTCCCCTTCCCCATACCAAAACTAAAATAGGGCTCTAATCAATCTTTTTCAAATGTGGTTTGCTTTGGCCTAAGGTCTCTGTGATTAATCTCAAAGGCACTTTCTAAGAACTGCCCTTGTCCCCCAATTGGCATCTGTGTAGGCAAGTTCATGCTTTAATGGCCTGTAGCATTGTACGGCTTTTAAACACCATCCTACATTAAAAAAAGAGGGTCTTGAATCCCATCAAGTTAAAGTAGACAAAATACACAAGGAAGGCCCTTTTGCTACTAATCTCTACCACCACCACCCCAGCTCCAGAAGCAGCACACACTACATAAATCATAGAGAGAAACCAAGCGGTGGATTACCAATTGGCAAGTTTAACCACTTTAACTCACTGCAGTGATTTAAAGGGCTGTCTTGGTTACACTGAGTATGGAGGGATAAAAAAGTGAATTTTACATGGAGTCTTGTGAAAACAAGCTTAACCTCCGTGAGTTGTAAACAATCAATGATTGAAATCTTTAATTTCTCTAATCTTTTATTTCTGACTTAAACTTTTAACATTTTTGAGATATGTGAAGAAAGTGAAAAGGTTGTAAGTGGAATTAGATCTGGCCTTGAATAGGTGACTTTTCCTAAGTTTTATCAAATTAAGCATCTTCTTTGGTAGCTTGAACTTCCCTGTCATCATCTATCATATGAATATCTGATGTATTTTTGTCACTTTGCCTCAAACGGTAACTTTTGTAAGCACGCTGAATGATGGTTGCTGAAACTGCCTCCTGTTTGCGTTTCAGAGTAGTTGTAATTGGCTCATATGTGATCTTAAAAGGGTTGGCTAACACAAACCCTGATTCCATCTCAGAAAGAAGTTTCTCTATCCTCACATCTTTACCCACAACTCGCTTTGTAAAAGCAAGTAAGATGTCAAGGCAGTGAATTCTGTCCCCAACAGCCATTGGAAGATCCATGGCGACAAGCTGGCCCTTGTTTGGTTTTGCCATGTAAAGAGGAGGATCCAGAGCAGCTGCAAAATCTGAAAGCTTGCTAGAGTCTATATACTGGGTCCCATCAGGATCAAACCTCTTCCACACCTGAAAGTATTTCCTAAAATCATATTCACTCAACGTCTTGGCTCTTTTTTTAGAAGCAATATTTACAAACTCCATAACAAGAACAATGTACATGTTTACAATGATCAGCCATGATATGAGGATGTAACTGACAAAATAAATAATTCCAACGATGGGGTTACCACAATCTCCTCTAACCTGGGTCCCAGGGTTAATTTTATCAGGATCACAGTCTGACCACTTACTGTTAAAAATTGCATCGAGCATCCCATCCCAACCAGCAAATATTGTAACCTGGAAAAGACAGAGCATGCTGCTGCCAAAGGTTTCAAAGTTGGACACATCATTAATTCCAGCTTCCTTTTTAACATAGGCAAAATTGTACATTCCAAAGATGGCATAGACGAACATGACCAGGAAGATGAGAAGACTGATGTTCAACAGCGCTGGGAGGAAGAGCACCAAAGGAAGCAGCAGGTCATGGAACACCTTCGGGCCCTTCCCAGGACGCAGGACGTGGATGATTCGAGAGAGGAGTATCAGTTGCACAAGGGAAGGGGATACAAAGTAGTACCCTACCATCAGAGGCAGAAGTAGTCCTTGGTGTGGGGAAGATAAAGCAGGCAATAAAATTATTCCAGTTCGATGGTATTTGGAAGAATATAAATTATTTTACATTTTATCATTTTCTATATGTTAAGATCATTTTATTCATCCTTCCCATATAGCATTTAGCACATATGGAAAGTTTGGGTTAGCCAAATAATAACTGTGGCAATGCGCAGAGTATCTAGCAAAATTTGGAAGAGAATTATTTGTACCATCATCTTAAGAGTCTTGTGTATCAAATACTTCTGGAATCACAGAGGGTATGAATCTGTAATATAGGACAATAGTCATTTTTTTCTGATTGTAGTTGGATCAAGAAATTTAGTTCTAGGCAACCTTTATTGGATAGTTAATAAAGGTGTCGTGCAAATATCCAAAGATGAATACTGTGATTTCTATCCTCAAAGACCTTGTAATCTGTAGAGGTAGACATTTAAGCTAATTATAATGCAAAGAAGGAAAATCTGGTTGATAAATACAATTACAAAAATGTTTTTTATTGAATTTATTGGGGTGACATAGGTTAACAAAATTATACAGGTAGCCGGTGGACAATTCTACAACACATCATCTGTACACTGTATTCAGTGACTCACATATTATAATTTAGTTTATTTATTTCATAAATAGTATTTGGGCCCTTACAAGTTTTTCAATGTGAACTGAATTAATGAGTCTTCGCCTAGAACTTTTTTCTGGTAGTGTTAGGTGAATGAGGGGACTATGAAAGTGAGAGAGAGAACTATAAAACAAAGTGAAATCATAATTACCATAAAAAGCATAAGGGATGTTCTCTGGAATTAGTGGAGGGAACATGGTTCATTTTGAGTTGAGAAGATGGGGAAGGGGAGAATCATGTGAAGCTTCTAAATGAGATGGTATGTTTGCTGAATATGGAAGAATTATGTTCCACATTTCTGTTGAGCTTTGTCACTGTTAATGTTGGCATTCTCTCTGATGCTCTGTCTTATCTATAACCTCGTCTCTGCAGATTAATGAACCTTCTACTCTGGCTCAAGTTTTCATTTCTCCTCAATTTTTCAAACTCTTCCATCATGCAGGAGTTATTTATTAATTGTAAGCATATTTTTCTACGTTCTCTAGAGTACAGACAGCTCATTCTTTCCCACTCCATATTTCTCAGGGTAGAAAGATGGAATAAGTAGGCTTTTATTATTTTCCTTTCAGACACCTTTCTAGATACCTTTCCTTCCCATTGTTTTTAGAAAGAAAAGAAAAAAAATTCAACTCCTTGTGGAGCATGTCATTTAACAATACCATCTCCGACATTCCTAGCTCTACAATCTAGTCATTCCTCCTCATCTATATTCAACTGGAGTCTTTGGTACTTGGCTCAAGTAATCCCTTCCATCTCAGCACTTACCATCAACCACCCATTCAAAGGTCAGTCTCTCAGTCTTTGGCTTTTTAAATTTTAACAATCGCCACCATTTTACTTTAGTCATACACATCTTTGGCCACATTCTGGACCCAGCAGAATACCTGCCTTCTGAGATCTCAAGTTCAAACAGCTTTCTCTCTGACTGCAGTTCCCTCTCTTTCCAGGTTTCTGACTTAGTAACTCTCACTTCAGCCTCATAAGACTCTTTAATTCCATATTCCTTTGTTACCTTCCTATCTGCTCCCTCCTGTCTTCATGTACTTTCAGTCAAGCTTCTTGTACATGTCGGTCAATGCTTGCACTGCTTCCACTACCAGGTGAATGAGTGAATTTTCTGGAAACATAACTGGGCACAGTTCATGTATATTTTTTTACTACTGACTACACAGAATAGTCCTTGACAATAAACATTAACTACTGACCCTATTCTCATGGAGCTGACATTCTAGTAGCTGTCCTCCAGGGGGCAGACAATAAACTTTCCTCTTTCTAAAACACTTTTTTCCCAGATAATTTCTTGGCTACATCCTAATCCAATAGGTAACCATTTACATTTTTGCTTCTTCCATGATGTTTTCTCTGACCTCTTCTTACTGATGAGGTGTTCCTCACTGATGTGCTGCTGTAACATGCCTTACATAACCTTACTGTATCCTTAATGGCACATTAAAATGCACTGTTCATTATTTGTGTCCCCTAATAGATTATAAATTGTAGGCATACAGGAATTATGCCTAACTTGTTCACTAATGAATTCTTTGCATATAGTGTAATATCTATTCACAGAGAGGGTAATCAAATATACTGGTTAAATAAAAGACTCAGATCTTTAGAGTAAAACTAGTGGCCAATTTACTAAAGCCTGAAACTCTACTGTTGTGAAAGTTGTAAACAGTTTAGAGATTAGAGGAAAGGAAAAACAATGAGCTTGAAAGGTTATATCCTGCTAAGATATATAGATACCTAGTGTTATCCTAGAAAAATAATGTAGGTGATATGCTGAAGGGGTAATTAAGTGTTTACCTTGTGGCCTGTGAAGTAGTCTATGTATTAATTCAAACAGCATTTTTAAATATCTTCTATCTGTCAGGCATGTGTACAGGTATGATGCAAACATGGAAAGCTTTTCTATGGAAATAACAAAGGTCCTTACCTGTTTTGCTGAATTAGAGGCTATATCTCAGGAGACGTTTACTATAAGAACTTGCCTGAATTAATAGTACTACAAATGAAAATCTCACTACACAAAAATCTTACCTGTGATAGAGAGAACGACCACCATAAAATCAAAAATGTTCCATCCACTGGTGAAATAGTCACAGTGGAAAGCAATGAGCTTCAGCACACATTCTCCAGTATACAGCATAACAAAAACTAGGTTAATCCAGATGAGAGCAGTGTCCATTTGTGAACTCTGTCCGTCACTTTCTATCATAATGGTTATTGCTTGGAGACAGATAAGAACCATAATGACAATATTAAAAACTTGACTTGTTACCAAGTCAAAGATGAATCTTTGGAACTTGTTCTGTGGGTAAAGAAAAAGGTGAAATAGTCGTATTAATAGGATATCCAGACACACACACAGGCTTTAGATTTACAACTTTCCTCCAGGCATAAATATGAGGATATGTTAGGGCCCAAGTTTTTACCAAACTAGAATTATAGCACAGCGTCAAAACAAACAAGAACACCATGAAAAGCTTTGTCAAGGAACACATTTTTAAAAATTCTGTCAGAAGTATTTGTTGCTAAGAATTTTGTTGCTAAGAATTTTAAAAACACATGTTTATTTTTAAAGATGAAGATATCAAGGGAACTTTTTTAGCAGCTTCAAAAAAAAAAAAAATCTAGATATTTTCTTACTCCTGGGCGAGGTATTATTTTTTGCGAGTTTTCACACATCAGCTTCTTCAGTGCACAATATTGTTTCTTCTGTTTTTCTGTTATAAAGATATTTGAGCCTCCTTGGTAAAGGCATGAAAGAAAAATATATTAAAATAAAATTTAATCCAAATTTCACTTTATATTAATATGCATTTTTGAAGCTTGGCAATGATTGATTTAATCTTTTATAAAAGGCTTAACTGCAATGAACCAAATCATGTTTAAATGTGTCTGACTTTCAGCACGATATAGAATATGTACAGATAGTGACTGATACTGTTATCTTCTGGTGTACCTTCCTGTGGGTGGTCAACCTTATTTTAACTTTTCAGTTTCCTGAGGCCGACCTCTTGTTAGACTGAGACAAAGGAGAAATGGAATGTCTAGAAAGGCTTATCTTTATATAATTTGACCACTGACCTCTCTATTCCCATTTGATTAGTGGAGACTCAGAGTTGTTTGTTTACCAGATTCTGCACACAGCTAAACGTTGATGACATGGCTAAATTGTACTTTCAAAATTAAATGATTCTTTTCTTCAATTCGTTAGAAGGCTTTCCTACACCAGTAGAAAGTAGGTCCCTGTGGTTAGACTAAGCAGACGTAGATGACTTTTGAGGCCTTTGCAATTTGTAGAAACCCTGAAGGGAATATTTGTGTGGGGATGGCACCAAATAAGCTGTTCAATTCTGCCTCTGAATTCTTTCTTATTCATTTCAAGCACTCCTATTTAGGCCATCTAATTAGAATTTATGACTCTCTACTGCTAGCATGAAAAGCTACTCTGAGAAAATGTCTGTGCTGGTTATGACTCTGCAGGCTTTGAAATTTTCAGAGAGGGAAAAGTGTGGTTGATTTTTCTTAAACTTCTACCACATATTTGTGCAAATGCACAATGTGTTTTATTTTTTAGCATGTCATTATTTATTAATATACATACAGAAACACTTGCAATCTTTACCTTCTAAACTTGTCAGTACATATTTGAATACAGAAAATAATGTACAGAATGGACATTTTAGCAATGTTTATCAATATACAGGAACATCAATCTTTTTTTAGATAAGTGCCAAATGAAAATGACATTAAGCTGAATCTAAAACCAATCATTTGAAGCAGGACCTTTTTATAAATGTGTTTGATTTTTCTCAGGTTTTGATGAACAAAGAATATTTATACTTATCTTTATTTTATGCTTGTTGAAATTAGCAAGGATAACACCGATCAGCATAGTTAGAGGGAGGAATAATCCAATGACAATAAAGACCAGAAAGTAACAATACATGTAGATGTTCTTTTCAAACTCAGGCTGCATATCTACCTAAAAGTTAAAAAAGAAGCAAAATAGGAAAGAGCATTGAGGATTTTTACATCAGAAAAATACTCTGTCTGACACTGTAATAATGAGTACATGTCACCATCCATTTGTCCAAACCCGTAGAATGTACTACACTGAGTGAACCCCAAGGTCAACCATGAACTTTGGGTGACTGATGTGTGAATGTAGATTCATTTGTGGTAAAAAACACACCATTCTGGTGAATGTTGTTAACAATGAGGAGGCTATGCATGTGTGGAGGAAGGGGTATATGGGAAATATCTGTATCTCCCTCTCGATTGTGTTGTGAACTTAAAAGTGCACTAAAAAGAAATTCTTTAAAAATATATGAAAAGTGGGGGGGAAAAAAGAAAAATATTGATACTGACTTTTTAAAACACAAGATTTATAAAACAATTTCTGACAAGGAAATCCAACAATGCTACTTGAGGTATGTTTCCTCTTTGATCCTTGGTGAAGGGATACCATTGCTTTGTTTACTGGATTTTAAAGTTTATTGCATTGGTCTAATAATTGTTATGAAGTCTGATATTCCTTCAGATGGGCGTATTGGGCTCAACCACTGTATATAATCCTGAAAGGATTTCATTGTCCATGAAATACTCAATCTAAATAATATTTAATTTTTGTCTAGCATAAGCATTTGCTTTTACCCTGTTAATTACTGTTCTTGATGGTGCCCAGTTCTTGAATTACAAAAATGACTTTGCTTGAACTTTAGCAATGACTTTAAGATTATATTGTACTTACACCAGTAGAATCAACAGCTGAATTCATAATAGAGATCCATCCATTAAATGTTGCCTGTAAAAATTGCATATATTTAATTCTTATAGAAATATTATGCTTCATGGCAAGTAAAAGTAAAACTCAATCTGTTATTAATAAACATTTGATTAGTAAGGCTGACCACACTTCAATATATTGTGTAGCAGATCTTTCCCATTTTCATTAGTACCTTTATGTTGTATGTTAACAACTATTTAAAACTATTTAGTGTAACTGTAGTTAATAACTTAAATATTTTAAGATAGTATAAATAGAAAGAGGGAGATATAGGTAGAGAGGTAGATAAATAGTAAATAAATATGTGCTACCTAAGTGTCATAGTTACTTGTAAGTGCTATATATGTGCTCTTCTATGGGGGATCTAAGACAGGAATGGTTCACCTCCTCACATCTGCTTGATGTTGGGTGACTGAGTAGCCATTCTTCAAATAATTAAGCAGAAATAAAACTGTAGTAACTTGAGTTGGCCCAAATATTGTGACCCTATTACATGATCATTGATGGAAACAGGTTTGGCCAGTACCTGCCATTTCCTCAGTCAGTCCTGCCTTCATCTCCCCTGGTTTCTCCAAAAAGTGCAGAAACTGTTTCACTTTTGTTTTTCCAAATGAACTTATTTGTTCATAATATGTTTCTACAACAAATAATAGCTAAAATAATTTATAACCAATTGTATTAATCACCCACATTTTGTCCTTATGTTGACCCACAGCATAGATGAACAGGTAATAGATAAAATCAAAAGCATACTTACTACTTGAAGCAATGAAAGAAAACCATTTCCAACATTATCAAAGTTCAGCTTTGCATTCTCCCATGGCATGGACTCATTGAGTATAAGACTTTCACAGTGATTCTTATTCCTGACTTCATATGTAGGAAACCTTTCTCCACTTGTTGGGTCAATGCACTGATAGAACTTGCCAGCAAATAAGCATACTCCCATGATGCTAAAAGCCAGCCAAATCATAAGGCAGACCAAAAACACATTCAAAGCAGGTAAAGTTGTTTTTATCAAAGCTCTCACAACCACCTGGAATGTAAAAAGCAAACAGGTAAACTTTAGGTAAGAAATGTGAAAATATTTTGATTAAATTGGAAATACTAATTAATGTAATGTCATATTGAAATAACAGAAAAAGGGCCATTTCTAAAGATTTAATGGGCCACACCCATGCTGGTATTTAAATAACCAAAATAATAAATTTCTATTAAAAATATGCATTAAAGCCAGCCAGGCTTGGCTCAGCGGTTGAGCGTCAACCTAGGATCCAGGCGATCAGGGTTCGATTCCCGGTCAGGGCACATGCCCGGGTTGTGGGCTTGATTCCCAGTCGAGGGCGTGCTCAATGATTCTCTCATCATTGATGTTTCTATCTCTCTTTCCCTCTCCTTTCCTCTCTCTGAAATCAATAAAGATATATTTTCAAAAAATGCATTAAAAATCCAGATATTCTCAAAATGTTTTTAGTAAAAAAGAAATCATTAAAAGAACAGAGCCGATTAGTATAAATGCTAGAATAAAGAATTATTTCATGTTTATCAACTATTGTGCAAGAAATGGGCAAGACAAGTGAACCTGTGTGTATGTGTAAGACTATCTAGAAAGCATACAAGGCCCTGGCTGGGTAGCTCAGTTGGTTAGAGTATTTCCAGTTGATTAGAGTATCCTCTTGATGTGCCAAGATAGACACCAAGGTTGTGGGTTCAATCCTTGGTCAGGGCACATACAAGAATCAACAAATGAATGCATAAATAAGTGGAATGAATAGGTGTTTCTCTCTCTCCCCCTTCCTCTCTCTCTCCAAAATAAATGGAAAGCATATAAAATGAGAGCAAAATAGGCCCAGGCATCATTCTTGGGGATTCTAACCTTCAGAAGGAACAGCCTACAAAGGAGAAAGTAAAGAAGCGGCAGAGGAAATAAGAGAAGATCATGAGATTGTTTCAAGAGACACTGATTAAGCAGCTAAACCTCACAAAATCACAAAGCACTTCACTGAACCACTCTGTGTCCCTGGTAAAACACTTCAAGTGGGAAGTTTGGGAAGTGAATTCACCACCTAAATTTGAGTAACAGCAATAGTCTATAATCACTGCCTCCATTTCCTCAACTCCCTTCACCCTTTAATATTACAATCAAAATGTTATTCTTATCACCCCACTAATGCTGTTATGGCAAATGTAAACCAGTTGTTATATCCAATAGAATATTTTCAATCTTTGCTACTTTTTAAATCCTCACCAGAAGATATGTTTTTATTGACTTTTCGAGGGAGAGAAAGGGGTGGAGAGAGAGAAACAGCAACAAGGGATGGAACCCACAACCAAGATACATGCCCTGACTGGGAATCAAACCCGAAACCTTTTGGGTCATGCGTGGACAAACCAACCAGCTGGGCAACTCAGCCAAGACAATCTCTGCTAGTTCTTTATCTTTCAGTGAGCATTTACACCTTCGACTCCCTCCCCCCAAATCACTTCTCCCTTTTTCTGAGAGACCACTGATTTTTCTCTTCTACCATTCTAACCTTTCCTTCCCTCAGCCGTTACTGGATACAGATACATTTGCCTGTACTTTCTTGCTTATATTCCTTAGTTTTCTGGTCTTGATTTAATATTTTGACTTTTAATTGTGTTTTTAATAAGGCTTTATTTCTAAAACTAAGTCACATTCCTCTGTCGACACTTTAGATATTTCGATAGGTGCACTGATGCCTCTGATAAAAAAAATGCTATGCCTGTTAGTACATATGTAATAAAAGCCATGGAGATGGTTGACCCAAATATTTCAAAAGTGAGAGCATCAAGACCTGAAGTTTGTTAACTACATAAAATATTAATTTTGTAATCTTGTAGCTCCCTTATATACTCAGTGCTATATCCTAGGAGAGCATTCAAACCACAGAACTTCCGGAGGCTGAGATGGAGCTTAAGATCTGGATCTGACCCTGACCTAAGAACGGCTACTGTAATCCTGTCCTTGGATTGTCCGGCTGCGCTCTCCGCGGGAGGCAGCTCCGCGGCTGCTCCCGTCACCCCTGCGCTGGGCGCTGGGCCAATGCGCACCCTCACGGGGGGCACCATCCCCCCCCNGGTGGGGGGGCGGGGAGGGCAGGGAGGAGGGAGCTGAGGAGTCGGGCGAGCGGCCGCCAGGAGGCCCCGCAGCCCAGCTGGCTGCACCCGCCCGCTCCCTCCGCAGCGGCCCGTTTCCGCGGAGCCAACGCTGGAGGGTCCGCGGCGCAGGGTGGACCCAGCTCTGCCCTCGGGGCGCCTCCGGGCGCCTCCGGGCTCCCGAGGCCCCGTCGAGGAGCAGCGCAGGGGAGGCATTTGATCGGGAAGGGCTGGTTCACAGCCTCCCCAGTTCCCAGGTTCAATTCCAACTGGCCCCTTACACGGGTTTAATAAGCAAGGGAACTCAGGGATGAGGCTTGCCTTGGGGCGGCGACAAGACAAGTGGATTTCTGCCAAAAATATTTTCTCTTAACTATTAGGGCTTTTTAAATTTTTGTTTATTTTTATTAGTTTTCATAGCTTATGAGCAACAGACCTAAAACCCTAATAAGCATAGGTAATATACCTTTCTTCTATAAGTAGTAGAATATAAGGTTTTTGTATTAGAATTGTTAAAGATATGAGATTACAAAACCTTACGTCTGTAGAAGTTTAGTAGATTAGTTTAGAAATTTCTCTCTTACCTTCATTCTTTCAAATTGAGATAGAACTCTAAGTGCCCGAAGGAATTTAATGGAAGCCAGTAGCTTTAGCTCTTCCCGAGATTTGCCGATTAAGTTAAGACAAAATACCTAGATATATGAAAAATAAATAATAGGATTTGATTTTAACTTTAACAAAACAGTCTATAAAAAGAACTCTGCATTCATTAAAAAAGATACATAGTCAAAGCCCATCAAGAAATATGCAAAAGCTTTAATATATATATCAATACATCTTAACGATAACTCACAAAGTTGTAAGAGAATCATTTTGTCGAAATCACTAAAAAAAGATTTAAATTTTTTTTCTGGTAATAAGAATACATGTTATTGAAATAAACAAAATTCATACATTTGACGTTCTTTATAATTAAGGATTAATATTTATATCCATTTTTAAATTTTGAAATGAGATTAAAAATCAGTTTCATTATTATTTTCAATATAGTAATAGTAATAGTATACAACTTATTCATTGAAACAAAATTTTAAATATATTTACAAATGCATCCATATATAAATATAGTTAAGATAATATAGAAAATTAGATTTTAGAGGACAGGCATCAAGAAGGATATGAATATTGTTAAGTCTAAGTACAAAGTATAGAAAGACAGTAAGGTTATTTTTTAAAGTAAACATATATACATAAAAATGATTTGAGGGTAATAAATGTTAATGGAGATTGAATAAGGTGGTAGAGTTAAGATTAACTTTTATTGTACCTTCATATTTCTGTATTTACAAGGCAACATAAATGAAAACGTTGTCCTTTTTTAACCTATACTAAAGAAATGGTCTTGAAGTGGGCTTTGAAATAAGGGTATCATGTGTAAACATGGAGAAATATGCAGTCTGGTTTGGTTGGAGTAGAAGGTTAATTTACAAGAAATAATTTAAAAGAGAGAAGTCAGATATTTTAAGTTATTATTTACAGACTGAGACGTTTCAATCATTACTTATACAATAAGGGGCCACTTGTTCATTCAGCAAAAATTATTGCACACCTACCACGTGACATGAATTATTCTAGGAATTGGTGATAAGGAGAGAACCAAATTGAAAAAAAAAAATTCTGTCTGAACGGGGCTTATCTTTCAGTATGGGAAGACAAGCAATAAGCAAGATCAGTTAATAAATTATATAATATTAGTAGGTGCTTTGGAGACGAAGAAAGCAGAGAAAGAAAAGGAAGTAGTGGAGTGACTGTCGTTTTGAAAAAGGTGGTGCAGAAAGACCTAACTTCAGAGTTTCATTTAAGCAGACATAAATGAGCTGGGCCAGCAAAACTTGCAGGTGGATGGAAGAGTAAGTGCAAAGGCACGAAGACGGAAGCAATCTTGGCATATGTGAGGCGCTTCAAGGCCAGTGCTGGTGGCACAGCACACAGACCAGGATGGGGGAAAGAAAGGGTGAGTAGGAGGACATAAGACTGCATCATACAGAGACTTGTAGGCCTTTATTTGCAAAGACTGTCGCTTTTACTCTGAGTGAGTCCATATGGAGTGTTTGTTGGAGAGTTTCAAGAGAAGTGACTTGAGTTGACTCCCATTTTACAATAGTAAAATAGACACAGTTGCTATGTGGAGAACAGAATGAAAGTGGGAGTGGTGGGAAGAAGAATATCAGTTTGGAATCTACTGCAGTGATCCAAACGAGAATTTTTGGTTGCTGGGATTAGTGTGGTACTGGTGAAGGTAATGATAAGTAGTCTCGTTTTGGATAGATAATTTAACAGTTGAGCAAACAGAATTTAAATATTTTAGGATGGTGATATTTTCAAAATACTGTGCAATAAACCTATTTTGTTAGCGGAGGGTACATGGGTGACTGTTAGAATAATCCAGGAGTGAAGTGCTGAATTTTAAGCTTTAGAATAAGAAAAGGGTAAATAGTAAACATTACAAATGAAGAAATTTGGGATGTTGGTGACTAAAAACGTATAGGGAGAGGAGGATACAAGTAAATGGAATAGTAAAAGAGTAAGAGTAAAGGGGGAGCAGCAAATCAAAGAGCTTTAAAATTTAGTTTTGCATACGTACAATAACAACCATGAAGTCTAGCCTGTACCAGCCATTAGTGAAATAGGCTTTAAGACCATATGCCATCCACTTTAGAAGCATTTCCAGGATAAAGATGTAAGTGAAGATCATGTCAGCATATTCTAGTAAGATTTTAATGGTCTTTCTTTGATCGATATATATATCTTCAAAAGCCTGTGGGAAAAAATTTAAGGATTAGCATACATGTAATTTCTAAAAAGTCTTGCCTGAGGGGAATCGAATGCCATCTCTAGTAAGCAGATGGTGAGCAAAGTCATAGGCTGTAGTCACAGGGCTGGTTCACTTTGCTTGGACTTATTCACATAATCCACAAGTATCATTTTCTGATCCAATGCCTGTAACAGGCATCATTAATTGATCCAAGAACCACTTCTTAAAGAGATTGAACTTGGTTTCATAATTGTTCTAAATAGTGCTCCAAATCAGTTAATCAAGCTTAACAGAAATGTATTTTAATTATGATGTATCTTGGTGTGGACCTCTTTAGGCTCATCTTGTTTGGGACTCTCTGTGCTATGTCTATTTCCTTCATGAGATTAGGGAAGTTTCCTGTCATTTTTTCACATAGCTTTTCAATTCGTTGCTCTCTCTCTTCTTCTTCAGGTAGCCCCATAATGTGAATGTTAGTATGCTTGAATTTGTCCCAGAGGCTCTTTATGTACTCTCATTTTTTAAATTCTTTTTTTTGGGTTTTTTTTTTTGCTATTCTGATGGAGTGTTTTCTATTTCCTTGTCTTACAGATCCTCTGCTTCATCTATTCTACTGTTGATTCCCTGTAATATGTTCATTCAGTTAATGTATTTTTCATTTCTGTCTGGTTCTTTTTTATACATTCTAGTTCTGTGTTTTTATGTTTCCTATCACTTTGTTGAAGGTCTCACCAAGTTCATCTACTTTCCCCTAAGTTCACTGAGCATCATTATAACCAGTGTTTTGAACTCTGCATCTAGTAGGTTGCTTGTCTTCATTTTGTTTAGTTATCTGTCTGGAGTTTTGTTCTGTTCTTTCATGTTTCTTTGTCTCCTCATTTTGTCAGCCTTCCTGTGTTTGTTTCTATGTGCTAGGTAGAGCTGCCACATCTCCTAGGTTTGGCAGAATGCCTTTTTGTACTAGGCGTCCTGTAGGGTCCAGGGTCACAACCTACCAGCCACCCAAGTAGGGTGCTCCAGGTGCCCCTGCCCCCCCGTGTGGGCTGTGTATACCCTCCTACTGTAGTTCAGCCTTGACAGGTGTTGGCATGTCAACGGGAGGGGTTTGCCCTTAGGCTGATCAGCTTCAAGGACTGGCTGTGACTACTGTGGAGGATTAGCTGTGTAGGGGCCAATCCTACAAAGCTGGACTCACTTCAATGGGGCTCTGATGCCTACTGAGTTCACCTTTTCAGTGTGCTGCTTGTGGAGGTGGTTGGATGGTGCATCGACATAATCTGAAGCTGTCCACTGGGTCTGCTGGCTCTGAGACTTATGAGAATTCCTGGGAGGTGCAGGCCAAGGTCAGCCACTGCCTGTATTTGCCCAGGCCACCTGACATGAGCTACAAAGTGGTATGTAGATGGCTACTACTTGTACTTTGTTTGGAGGTGCCCAGGAAAGGCTAACCTGAGAATCAAGACCAGTGCTGGGCTTGGGGAGACTTAGTGAGAGGTACAGGCACTCAGAGACCAGATGCTGCTTGTCTGAGAGATTTTAGGAAAGTCTGAAGCATGAACCAAAACAGGCCATTCATACAGAGAAGCCACTGGAAACAGCTTGGGTGGGCCCACAAGTTGGGTGGTGTGAGGTTTCAGGAAATCACTAGGGTGGGGTCAGGTGGATGGAGACTCAGATATAGCGCCTGCCTGCAGGCTGTGTGGAAGGAGGGCTCTGAAAAGGAACAATGGCCTCTGCCAGCACTTCTGTCTGGGAGAAAGCTGTCCCTCCAGCTCTTGCCCTGATGCCTGATAATTCACTTCCTCCCTGTATGTCTCTGGTGCCTTTGAAGGTGCTGCCACAGTGCTAGAGCTCAGAGTGAAAGAGTCTGAGTAAGTCCATGCTCAGGCCCTTTAAGAGGAACACTTGGGACTCCAGCAGTCTCTGTGTTACCCAGCCACAATCTCTGCTGATTTTTACAGTCAGAAGTTATGAGGATTTCTATTCCTGGCACTGGAACCCTGGGCTGGCAGGCCTGGTATGGGGGTGGCACCCCTGGCTTTCAGGAGGGATCTCTGCAGCAAAGATATCTCTTCGGTTTTTATCTACCTCACATGGGTGTGGAATCAGCCCATTTCCCATCTCTGTCCTTCCTACCAGTTTTGACGTGGCTTCTTCTGTATATCCTTAATTGTAGGACTTCTGTTTAGCTACATTTCAAGTGGTTCTTAATGACTGTTGTTCTGTAGGTTAGTTGTAATTTGATATGACTATGGAAGGATACAAGTACTGTGTTTACCTATACCGCCATCTCGACCAGAAGCCGAAACTTTGTTTCTTATATGAAACTTTATTAAAATAAGAATTAGGATCTCTTAACATTCCTTTTTCCCCACTGTCATTTACATATTTTGAAATTGTATTATTTATTTAATGTTAAATGAGGCCTGTATAGATTTTAAAGAGACTATGATGTATGTCTTCAAAACTAAAATCATAGCCTATAAACTTTGGTGCTATAATAAGTATTACAGGGGGAAACTAACTTGGTATGGCGACTTTACAAATTAACAGACTTCTAATATACTTTTCCCATAAAAATCTCACATACTTGCACTTACCAGAGCACCTGTGCTGAGCAAAGTGACAAGGCCAATGAAACACTTAAAAAAACTGTTTTCTACTATCTTGCAGCAGGTTTTCCTTATGTTTCGCCAAATTTTTCCTCTTTTAGAGTCTCTACTGATTTGACCTGGTGAAGATCTTCGTTCATAACCTGTCAAGAATAAAATTGTTAAGAAAAAAATCTTTAAAATTTATGAAAAAATAAACATCTCATAGTTTCTTCCACATGCTTTCAACTATTTCTTTATAGAATCTAATATAGGTGGTCTCTGACTTATAAGAATTTGATTTTTACATCTTCTGTGCTGAACACTACAATCACTGAGAAAGCAACAATAACAACAAAAACTCGTGAGTTTGGTAATTAAAAGAAATTGTGAAAGGCAGAGATGACTCAGTGCATTCCTTAAGCCTTCGGGACAGAGTCTGAGAATAGAATTTATTTCCTCCTCCTCTCTTCTTCCTACTACTACTACTACTAAAAAAATACACACACACACACACACACACCTGAGTAGCAGTATTGGCATAATGCCTGAAAAGTCATTCTTTGAAGATTCATGTGGCATACAAACATTCCCATTTAAATTCACAAATATTTATGAAATATTAAGAGTTATAATATCAGTTAAATCAGTTAAATTGATTTCAATTCTTAGATGGCATGGGAATGGGAATTTTATTTGAGACTATCTAAGAACCAACCTGGATTATGGAGTACTTTGTGAATAGGGCACATGTGCATAGGGTTTTGAACTCTACTTTCCAGTCAAGAAATTTAGTATAAGGAACTTTTTTCTTACTGTTTTTATGGTGCTTTGGCTTTTCATGTTCATAGATCATTTCTTCTTCTTCAGAGAGAGCAATATCAACTGTGCTGCATTCAGATGAGCTAGATGGCTTTACCTTCTGAAAAGTAAAGTCCCACCAGAAATGTGAATAAAGTTTCATTTAGTCACTGTAGTTAAAATTTGCTTCATTTTTAGAAATAAGAAAAAAGAAAACTATGCACACAAAAGACCATTATCAGCTTTAAAAGACTTTAGGCCAAGTTCATGATTGATATTAAAATGTGTATATATCTGTGTGATTGATGTTTTAAAAGTTATTTTAAAAATTAATTTAAGATAAAATAATTTTTTTAATTAAAATTAATATTTAGTTAATAACACTGTCCACCCAAGTGATATATTAGGTTATCTCCAATTTCCAAAAGGATTTGAGTTCCAAACTTTTCCTGAAGTTATTCACCAAGTTCCCAGTATGCTATTTCAATGAGATGAGTAGCATCAGAGTAAATCTCCCCTTGATGCTAAAGATGGGGAGACAAGGGTATACTTAGTATTTACTGTATTATCCAGTCCAGACATTCTTATGTATGTCATCACAGGATGAGACATGTAAGGTTATCCTGAAGTGAAATGAAGAAACGGCACAAGGAACACGGTCAAGGATAGACCTAGGAAAGTGGTTCCAGCCCTAGAAAAGAGGCTACTTGCAGAGACTGATATTTCTTCCCACTCTGTTCTTGACTGAAGTTCAAGACTGGCTAGAATAAGGTAGTCATGACTTTGTACATGTGGTAACAATGCAAATGACATGCTTGGCCTTTACTTGAAATGATTTTCTCATAATGCTTTACTTTACCTTACTGGAAAGTGGACATAAACATATCATCTTTTAAAATGACCAAGATCCTAAAATTAATAGCGTAAAAAATCACTTTCTCATTATAAAAATTAAGATAAGTGTTTAAAACATTTGGAAGAAAAGCAGTCTTATTTCTTAAAGATCAAGGAAAGCTCTAGATGCAGTATATAAAAAAGAAAATTACAAATATTTGTCCTACTTCTTGGTCTTATACACAATACATGTCAATGAAATATAATTAGGAAGCTTTGTTTGCTTAAACCTTAATCGTAATTGTCAATAAGCCATTAAGGTGCTCAATTAATCAGTGCTGACTCACCTTCTTATCAACAATGCTGTAAATCAGTAAATAAGGCATCAGGCTACTGAAATATCTCACCTCTTTGCTGCTGCCATAACCTGACTTGCTCTGAATCTCCTTGTTATCCAGATTTTCTATATCAGATTCTCCAGAAGCAATTGGTACAGTTTCAGAGACACTAGGACTGGGGATAAGTGATTGACTCTCATTTTCAGTCATTGTGTTTTTGTCTGTGCTAGTGCTTCTTTCCTTGACCTTGAAATCTTGGGTGTTGCTCAATTCAGAAAGAGTATGGTCAGAAATGTTCTCTTTAGCACGAGGATTGTTTTCATGGTCCATTGTGTCCTTGGGACCATCTAGTCTTTTACATAGTATTTTAGAAAGCACATAGCTTACTCCTTTCTTAATCCTTGCCAGGGCACGCCAGAGATTTTTGGCTTCATCATTCTCTTCAGCCGTTGCAGCATTGTATGAACTGAAGAAGCTCACCAATGCCAGAAACAGGTAAAGTATCTAAATGAATAAGTAAATAAGGTTAAGTGTATCTCATTTTTTGTTTCCCTTTAAACAATAAAAAAATCCTTTAAAAGGGCTGACCTGAGATTTGAAAACAGCATATGAACTACAATGCTATTCAGTTCTTACCCATCTGCAATGGGTCCGGTGCTGTGCTAGAGGATTGTGTAGCCAGAACGCATCTTAAGCGCAGAACATTCTATGAAATATTTGTTTCTCTTTTATAGAGGAAAAAGGCAAAGTTTATAGATGTTAACTATCAAAGGTCACACAGATTGAACTCAAGTCTGTCTTACTCCAAAGCTTATTTTCTTTCCCTGAGTCAAGCTGCCTCTCTCGCAAGGTGAGAAAATGAATTGCTACTCCAGGTGGCTGACTTCACTTTGGTTCTATCCCAGGAAGATGTGTAATGACATCTTCATGGATTCTGCAAACCCATAAGAAATTTCACCGGGAGGGATCAATTCCTGTTCTGAGGCCCATATCTAATTTTCCTGAGACATGCAAGCACAGGGATTATGTAGGTTAATTGATTATTTGTGGTAATAAATTTGGCCAAATAAGAAAAAAGTGATAGAAGAATTATTACTAATACTTGCCAGTTATTCAAACTCAAGGATAGTGTCCATGTTGATGTTTACTATCATTAAGAAATATGATCGATCAAAGCATGCTCAGTTTCCAGATAATCAGATTTTTATCTTGTTTGTAATTGTATGGTATAGATGTACTTTTTGGATTCCAGAGTTGAAGATTAATATTACGTATTCTCTTAGATTTAAAGTAATAATTTGAGCATTTTGTTTATTATGGAAGTTTTTTCTCCTCTCTTCAGATATTTGAGCTTAAGACTTAGTTAATTTTATGCTTTACATATTATTTTTAGAGGGCAAAGTTCAAATGACATGCATTATGTTTAAGAATATGTAAACCGTAAGTCCTCACTTAACATAACGTCGTTCATAGGTTCTTGAAAACTGTGACTTTAAGTGAAATAACATATAACAGAACCAATTTTGCCACAGGCTAATTGGTATAAATAAGAACTAAGTTCTTACAGCATATTTCTGGTCACAAAACATCACTAGACTTCTAAGTAAAGATCCAAAACATTTCTAATAGTAAACCATGAAATAAATGTGAGCCATACATACATTTAGAAAACATTAGTAGAAATAAGTAAGACAATTATTTTCCAACCTGCTTATTCTCTTTCAGGGTCATGGTCAGGTGACAAAAATGACATTAAGAGAAATGTCCTTATTGGAGGAGCTGCTGTATATATAACTTACATAACGTTTCCTGTCTGTGTTTCTGATTACTTCACACATTAAGATCTACTCTTAGCATAATTATACTGACATTAATGTGTACACAAAACAAAATAAGCCTATAAAGATCTCCAAACGCTTATTTGTTAAAACTTCTTTCAGCATTCTGCATCTATGTGAAGAGATGAAGTTCTCAGATACTCTGATAATTACTGTCTTTCTCATGCATACACACACCTGAGAAAATATGAACTGCTCACCATATAGTGTTCAATCCTAACTGACTGCTTTTACTTCTCTGTAACTGTATCTTCATATACATAGGAATAAAGTTCAAATAAGACTCACAGAAAACCAAAATGTTATTGCAGACATTAATGTCATCCAATAGATAATCATAAATCTTAACCATATTTTGGTGGAACAATAAAATATAGAGTACAAATGGCTCAAAATTGGAAATTTCTTACAGGTGAGATCATCTGAACTGATATATTTTCTATAACCTATGATGACAGAGTCTCAGAGGACAAACTGAAAAAATTAAACATAACTGAAAATACACTGATCAAATGCCAATACCCCCAGAGATTCACAGGATTGTTCTCACGCTAGTGTCTCACTTGACAATAAGGCCAATAAGACTTACAGATAACCTGGGTTGGGCTCCATGACCCTTATAGGAACTATACTGTTAGCCTCTCTACCATTCTCAAAGGATAGTAAGTTCAGGATGTAAGACGGCAAGACCAAATATAATTTAAGGTAGCTGGCTGTTTCTTTTCCCTCCTTTGTTTGGGTAAGTATTAGGCACAATGACACATAAGGAAAGGGTATTAGGTAAGAATTTCATGACTATAAGCTTCATATAAACAAGAACCTCATTTTCTCTTAAGTAGACAACTAGCACAGTGCTAGGCACAACGTTAGTAATAAATAAATATTTGTTGAAAAAATGAATTAATTGTAGAATAAATGAAAGAATAGATTTTGTGCCAGAATTTGGACAGGGGAAAATTATGCTACAACAATTGTATTTTTAAGAGCTTGCAATCTAAGATGTCTTATATTGTAGACATACGTGCCCACACCCACACATACCCACACACACATATACATGCATACATACATATATAATAAGAATGTAAAAAGGCTGAAAATAAAAGTCCAAATATTTGGGAGGGAACTGTGGTACAAATGAAGAACTTTTAAATATTGTGAAGTGTTTCTGCTTTGTTAAAGGGTGCTCTGAATTTAAAATAGCCTGGTCTCTTGAAGGATTAAAAAGGAAAAACTGTATTTTGTAAATGATCAAAGCTATAGAGCTTTGATTACCTCTTCTAATTTGAAGATTAATAAAGAAGGAAGGGGGAGTTTATATAAATTATATTATATAAACTTAGGGTTACTTTCTTTCAATCACAGTGTTACAAGATTCAAAACACATATTTATTGCTTTTGTGTTGAGATAAAAGGTGAAAGAATGTATATATAAGAAAACATTCAAAAGTGTTCCCTGAAATTTGCTCTCTCTCTCACCTCAAATGTATCTACCTATTGTGTGAGAATTGAGCAACTCATGCCAAAATAAAGTAATATGGAAGAGAAAGAAAATTCGAGATTTACTTAAGTAATTATTTTTGTGATTAGTATTCAAGGAATTTAAAATGTATTTAGGCTCTCCTATTTTAATATTGTTCTAATTATATCTTAATTTATATTTAGCTTGGGAATATATAAGTATATATGGAATAACATACATATTTATAAGCAGATTTTTTATTTTTTAAAAGTAACTGGATTTGACTTTGGGTGGTAAACACACAACACAATATACAGATGATATATTACAAACTGTACACTTGAAACCTATATAATATTATTAACCAATGTCAACCCTATAAATTTAATAAAAAATAAAAAGTGACTGGATTTTATATTAAGCTTTCTATTTCTTTTCATGTTTCTACCCCTCTCTGGCTTACTTGACCTTAACCAGATACCACAATTCACCTGGCAGAAACTACTTAAATTTCAGGCAAAACATCTGAAAGGTGCCCAACTAAAACTTCTAAATAATGTTAAGTCATTAACAAAATTCTGTACAAAGGCAGAGGGCATTGGAATACTTTTACATGCTGGGCACTGCTCTGGGCTTTGATGATCCAGAGAACAGCCATGAACCCTTCCTTCAAGGAGCAGTTTAATAAGAAAGACAAGTACACCAACAATGAAACATAATGCCAGTGTGACAAGTGTATGACAGGGGTTATGATGAGGGTGAAACAAGCGACAAGGAAGGCGACCAATACCGTGGAGTCTTAACTTGAGTTCTCTTTTTTAGTCTTTTGGGAATCTCTATCACTTATGAATAAAAGCAAATATTGAGTCCTGTTTTTTTTTCTTAGTGTAAGAACAATTTTCTTTCATAAGCCATTCCTTTTTCTTTGAAGAAGTAAAAGCTACTTATTTAATTCATAGCACCACCTCAATTACTGGATATTTAAAAGTGAAGCTTTCTCTCTTAGTGAATGCATAATGGTTTTATAGACCAGAGGTTTTCTAACTTTGCTGCACAATTGAATCAAATAAAGATTCTTTAAAAATCCTGATGTCCATGTACCAATAAAATCAGGATCTTTGGGAATGGATCCAAAGCATTAGTATATTTTTATAATGCCCCAGGTAATTCCAATGTGCATCCAAGTTTGACCATTAGTGCTATGTATAAGTGGTTCTTAAAATTTAATGTGTGTACATATCACCTGTTGATACCGTTAAAATGTAGCTTCTGTTCCCATAGGTCTGGGATAGGCTCTGAGAGTCTATATTGATAACTATCTCCCACATGATGCCAATGCTACTTTGAGCAGCAAGGTTATAAGCCAGTGCTATCCAATAGAAACATGATGCACATCGCATATGCAATTTTTCAGTAGCCACATTCAAAGCATAAACAAAAACAGATAAAATTAATCTGCTAGCATTTTATTTAACTAAATATATAAAAATATTATTTTAAAATGCAATTCAATAAAAATTATTAATGAAATTATTTACATTATTTTGGGGGGGTAAGACTTCAAATCCAGTGGATAGTTTTACATTTGGGGCACACCTCAAATTAGACCAATCATGTTTTAACTGATCAATTGCCACATGTGACTAGGTGAAATCACACTGAACAGCAGTTATAGAACACTGGATCCCATAAATCCACATCATGAAAATACTTGACTATATTACATCAGTTTCTCAAGGAAAATTTAAAAGCATGGATTACTTACCAATAAGTTTCCAATTAAAATGACCATCATATAAAAAGGAATACAGCTGAATCGGCTTGCTATGTCAAAGCAATCCCATAAAGTCTCTATCCACTCTCCACAGAGAATCCGGAACACATTCAGGTAGGAGTGGAAGAAGTTGATCATGTGCCAGCGTGGGAGTTGACAGTCTTTGTCTAATTTGCAGGCATATTCTTGGTATCTCAAACCAAACAGCCTCATGCCAACAATAGCAGAAAAGAACATGAACGTGAACAACAGCAGGATCAAGTCTTTCAGGGCCACCAATGACTTCGTAAGAGTCAGCAGCAGAATCTTAAATGTCGGCCAGTATTTCCCCAGCTTGAAAATTCTTAACTAATAGAGCAATGTAAAGAACAAGAAACAAAATACCAAAAAAACTTGGTTACTATTTATGATGATACACATTAAAGTTTTTATCAGCATTATACACATTCACATATATTGTCTTTAATGTAATGTTCAGTTTTGAGCATTGTTAATATTAACTATTAAAATTCATTTTATGTACAATTCTTAATACATCATACATATTCTATAACTTTTTACATGACATCCATACATATCTTCTTCTATTGATCTGTCAATGCCCATTCAATATTATACTATTATAATTACTAGTATAATATTATACTAGTATAATTACTATTATACTAGTATAATTACTCTAGCTATACATTTAATTAATATCCAGTAGGGCAACTAACCATTCTGTTTTGCTTTTCACAATACATTGGGTATTTTTCCACATTTTGACATATAGATTATATTGAAAAAACCTGTCGGTTTCCACTGAATTCTATTGAGGTTTTTATAATGTATTTCCCTTCCAAGTAATACATTAAAGACCAAACACAACATTCTAGGTTTAGTCTGAATATTTTCCTTCTTTTCACTAAATTTTTTATTTCTATTGATACAGCACAGATTACTTTCACATTTTAGCCACCATATCACAAGAAAATTAGTCATCTAAAACCCATACATCATTTTTATAAACCTTCCTTAACTTTTTCTAGTACATATATATTTGGCTTTCTGGGCTCAAGAGCTGGGCTTTACATTTATCCATGTAAAACTTAATCATCTTATAGTCAGTCCATTACTAGCCTTTGAGACATTTTGATCCTATTTTTGATCATGGTTTTTATATTTCCCAGTCTTGTTTCATCCATAAGCTTGATAACTACATCTTTTATATGTTTTTCTCACTGATTTGAAAAGTCTACTGGTGACGTTTACGACAGGTTGTTCTTGATTCCTGCTACATTCTTTCAACTTATTGACAAATACTTAACATTTTCATAAATACCATTCTAATAGCATTATTACCTTGCCTAGTTTTCTGATTCTTAACATCACCCTTCATTGCAGACATCTATTGGTTCTGACTTAATAATATTTATAACAACATTCTGCTGGTCTGACTGGCGTTATATGAAGTTTTCTATTTAGTAAAACTTTCTACCCTGCATTTAGAAATACCTGGTTCCAGTTCCTTAGCTACACATTGATATTCAGCTTCTGGGGCTCTTCATCACCTTGCTCCTCAAAACTGGCCCAGCACCCCTGGCCCTGCTTGCTAGAACCACATCTCAAATTTGCTCCATATATGGCTGGCTTATTTCCTTTAATGCTCTGGTTAAATAATAGCATTGGAGACTGCACACTCTTTCTTGGGGCAGTATTAACTCATTTAATACTCCCAGTGTCCCAGTGGTATTTGTATTACTACTTTTTTCATTTTATGTTTCAGAAAACCGAGATATATTTTCATAAAATAAAATTTAGGTCTTGGATTCTACTTACCACCCTGAGTGATTGAAGAACAGCCAGTCCATGAACACTTGCTAGAAAAAGTTCTGCTAAACCATGGAGCACAATTAGGCTGTCGTAAATGTTCCAACCTACTTGGAAATACCCATATGGGTGCATAGCAATTATCTTAAAAATCATTTCTGTTGTAAAAATTCCAATAAAAACCTAAATAAAAACAAAACACATGAGTGAGAATGTGCCTGCAATAGCTCTGTCAGAACCCTCATGCACAGACACCGTAACTTCAGTGCCACATTCCTCACAGTCCTTCTGTCAATATCTGGTTAGTTTTGGAGTTAGTATAACAACAGACTCATGCATTTTATTTAATAATCTAACATCAAACACTGTATAGAAAAATCCTTAATTATTTTTATAGCCAATCTGGAAGAAAATAAAAGAATATTTGAAGGTTAAAAAAATCTTTTCACTTTGAGTAGTTCCTTTTGGAATATAGAATATTTGTTAAGACATTTAATTTTTAACTGGTAAAAGAATAAAAGAAGTACATATATGATCCAGAAAAAATGCAGCAGAATAAACCTATGGAACCTGTCTTTTGAAAACTACACTGTCAGAAATAACTACATTACTGTTTTGGTATCAAGTAAATGTATAATTCAAAATTGGTAGCAGTTTGGCTGTTTGTATGAGCACTAAGCAACTAAACAATAACAACCTAATAAAGGGGGGGAAAAATTAAATACAATATGTTTGCTTGAATGTGACTTATTTTTAAACTCATACAAATCTGTTTTGCCTTTTGCATTGTATGGGATAAAAAGGATATGTGAATCCCAACAATACCTTTCAAAGGATAAGCTCCAATGTAAGGCATAGACAGGTGGTGAGAGCAGACAGGGTCAGGTGCAGCTGTAGTCAGGACTCAGAATCAGGTGTCAGTGAAGAACTTGGGTCTGTTATTTGACTTCTGCTCTACTCTGAACTATGAGACTATGGGACTGAGAGGATATACTTGGGAAGTGAGAGGAAATAATTTCCACTTAACCTGACTGCCAAGCAGCTGGCGAGGAATTGCAAATTTAAATGGCAGAAATTTAAACTCTAGGTATAAACCTATTCAGTGATAAGAACATTTACAAAACAGGGCTTGAGGCAACAAAGTGGGGAAGCAGGAACACAATACTTCATCTTGGTCTTATATAATGCATTTGCAACATACTGAAGTTACAAAATAAAATAATGGGATAATGACAACTAAAAATATATTGAAATTGCAAATTAAAATAACATAGAATAAGAGGCTTACCAGGTTTCCAACGCTGAGAACACTGAAGATTTCCTCACTCATTGGATAATATTCCATGGCCAAAAAATATATGTTTAGAATTATGCACATAGTGAGAAAAAGATCAGTAAATGGGTGCATCATAATCACATGGAGAAACTCTTTCAGTTTTACCCAACAGGGAGAACAATTCCAGATCAAGAAAATTTTAGCAAATTTATACCAACACAATGGGCATCTCTTCTGAGAATTTTTATGTTCTGCAATGAAAGAACAGGAAAGTTAAACTTTAGCAAATTGCCTAACTTTAATAGAAAATTTTGACTTTTGCATGTAAAAAGAGGTTTGAAACTAGACCTCTGACTTGGAATTAGCAAAAAAATAAAATAAAATAGAAAAATATTTTATACTAATAAGCAAAGTAAATTTCTTCTATTTTGTTCATGCTAGCTGAATTAGACAAATGAAAATGAGACAAGCTGTGAATTAGAAGTAAAATATAGGAGTATCTGTCAAAAAAACAAATGGAATACAGTTGAGAGTATTATAATTTATAATTTCTAGATTTATAGGCTTTATAAAATAATGTCTTTCAATATTGGCATGATAATGAGTTACTGGTTATATGTTAAAAAAACAGAGTCAATATAGAGAGGAGCTTATTAATGTTACACACACACACACACACACACTCTCCAGGCTTTATTTTTAGTTACAAGTTGTCACTTCTATGTCACTTTCAGTGTTAAAAAAAAAATTCCTTGGCACTCTTTGGTGACCCTTTCCAATGTTTAAAACACTATGTTTATGTAACTTTTATAAATTGTTCATCCTAATATTCTCATGTTATTCCTTAAATTTTAGTTATTGTGTAAACTTCTGAAGCAATTATAGAATTTCTTTAAAAGTGAATCTTACGAATAGTGCCTTCCATAGTGTCTGAATAGTTTTTCCTTTACCTTCATGACTGACAGCAGCAGCATCCAACACATCCAAAGGAGCAAGTGTAGAAACTGGTAATCTTTTCTTCATTTCTATTTGTGTGGTCTTGGTCTAAAAAGAAATTTGATGAGTCTAATGCTGGCTTCTTCCCTTTGTTGACCCAGGACTATAACTATAAGGTTTATAACCTCCTTAAAAATGCTGAGTTTTACCTCCAGAAGCTTTACTTTTTCTTTTGGAAAATGAGTATAACTTGCAACTCAACAAAATAATGTTATGATATGAAGTCCACTATAAAAGGAGTAAATCAGAGAACGATAGTAGTATTACTCATATTTGACAAATAATTCAATGTATAGTTTACGATTAGTGTAAGATATCCAGTTGGCAAACATACTATTGAATAACAACAGTATTCCTCTAACACCTTAAGTTTTTTCCTTCAGAATATGTTAACATTATAACTTTGCAAATTCTCTTGACAAAATCAAAATGATTTGGTTTTATAATGATGAAGTAAGTCTTGAAGAATACCAGGTAATAGATTTTTTAAAACTGCTTTCATTAGAACATATATGATAATTCCATAAAGGAATCACTTCTTCCTGTCTCTCATGTCTCTTGAGCAATGGTTTTAAGATACTCTCTGCTTTGCTGATGTAGCCACACAAGGTTAGAAAGAATCCTTGCACTGAGAAGCCACTCCAGACTCCTAACTTTGATGGAGAGGTTACAAGTTCTATACATTCACAAGTATTACAAATATAGCTCAAGGTGTTTCTAGTGACCATGTATAAAATTTGTAATTGGATTTAAATGGTAAGAAATTGACAATGGATGGGGAGATAATATTACACTATAGATTTTCCAAGAGTTTTCCATTTGGCACACACAAAGGATAATAATATTTATATATTTGTTAACTTGGGGTAAACAGGCAAGGCTACGCTTGGATAGAGGTAACTGGCTTGGGAGAGGATGCCACCTTCACACTGAGAGAATTAGTAGTTGAGGCTCACCAATAACCTATACGCATCACACTCAGGTTGGCAAGTTCTGCTGTGGTCTATTTGAAGAGGCATAATAGATATGAAAGGAGTCATATTCACCTAACTCAGTACCAGTTGAATCCCCTCTAATTTCACAAATAGTGGACCTAAAAGAGGTGAAAACCAATCGTATAACATACTGAGTTCCATTAGCAGAGACTGCAGTTCTACAGATCTTGTTCCCCTCCCCTCCCCTTTTTTAATTCAAAAAGTAAGCTAAAAGCTGAAGATGTAAAGTTAACTTATTTATTTAAACCATGATTATTTAAGAAACTATTTTAGCTTACTTATAGTTACATAAAATATGTTATAAATTATACAATTACAAATTTCCATGAGATTAAAAAACAACAGAAGTACAACTTTTCTGTTAAGATTTGACAAGAATTTCCCAAGTGTATCTTCATAAAGATGACACTTGGGTGATATAGGGAATAATATCTTCTACTGTATATTCTTAATATAAAGAAAATACTTCTCATAGAGCTATTTCTGATCATGATGATGTTTGATGGAATCACACCAAAGAGCAAGTCAGTAAAGACAGTGTGGGGAGTTGAAGGGTAGAGTGAGTAGAATAATAATGTTATTGTTTATATAGTCAATGCTAAATTTTCTACTAATTTGGCCTGAACTATGGATGTATTTTAGAATATAAAATGAACAAACCGCATATTTTGATTGAGCTTCTCAAAAATATTAAATGAATGTCCACAGTGGGCCGACTCCTGAGGACACAGCTGTTTACAATGAAAATTCAGAGGATCATAACTCAATAACTTTCTTTGTGGAAGTTTAAGAGCTAATAAGGGCATATGCCTGGATTTCAGATAATTCAATATCAGAATTAGGCTAGGAAAAGGGACTGGGCTTCTCTTCATAACTGGTTTAAATTCTCTCTGGAGGGAGGTATAAATAAGGAGGAACCCAGTCATACTTGTGACATTAAGCAACGAATACCTGAAGTGTTCATCTTGGACTCAGATTTGCTCTCTCCACTTCAGCCACACTGGCCTTTTTAATCCTCTGACTCACCCTG